CCTACTTTCCTTTAGTACAACTGCAAGTTGGCATCAATTTATTTTAATTAAATTATACAAGAAAATTTCGGGTTTGCTTTCTCAAGCATGCGCCCGACATACGCCCACATTTGCCGACTTCGCGACTAAATAGCAGCAAAGAGTAAAGACTACACAAGAAGTTTTAAAAATTAACGCCGTTGAATTTAGGGGGCAGCGGCAAATTTAAGATAATTAATTTACCCCAATTTCTATTTCCATTTTATATATTTAAGGAACTTAACTTTATTATCAGTATGTTATGGGATACAGGGCCGGCTACAACTTCTTATAAGTCAATGAAGAAAGTTCTAAAGGATAATAATGTGTTGGTATTATGGTTGAATCAGTGGACGTGTCGTTTCAAAATGATCTTACTTTTTCTAAGCGNAATAATAATAATAATAATTATATATAAAATAAAATAATAATAATATTATATATTATATATTAAATAAAAAATTATAATATTTTTAATGTATTGTTAGTAGTGATCAATGGATATGTATAAATGTTTAATTTTTATTTAGATATGTATTGTTTATATTTACAATTTAATTTAGGAAAAAATAAAAAAAAGGTTTTATAAAAAAAAAAGGGAAAAACGGTTCAAAACCGGTTAACCGAAAAACCGGTTTTCCCTCCAAACCGATTCAGTTTCGGTTCAAAAATTTTTCTGAACCGAAAAACTGGTTCGGTTAACTGCTTTTGAACACCCCTAAGTACAACTGCAAGTTGACATCAATTTACTTTAATTAAATTATACAAGAAATAACCTCCTTTTCCCATTCCGTGGAGTGAAATTTATATTCTATATGTGTGTTGATTCAAAAATCTGCACCAATCAGAGAATTCTGATTGACCATGTCAGAACCAGAATGAATATGTGCGTGATTACGGATAATCAGCAGTGGATGAATAATAAATGCAATAAAGTAAATGGCAGAGAGATTTTTAAAATGGTTCGGCAAGTTAGAACTTAAGTCTACGTCCACTGTTATCTTATTATTTTTGAGAGCTTATAAAAAATAGTATAATTCATAGGAAGATTTTCTTAGAACAATTTCCTAGCCCCCTTGAAAACAAGTTATAATGGGTTTATATAGCACTCATTTACATGATATAATTAAGATAAGATTCAATTACATAGAATTAGGAAGTTGCACGATCTCCAACTACTTTAATTAGAATCTAAGTTAATCTGAATATCTTCATTCCAAATTGAGTCAATCTAAATATATTCTCTCCTAATAACGAATCATCCTCTCTGGATTGACAACACAACAATGTTTGGAAAACAAAAATTTATAAATTATATATAGATATCGCTATAATTTACAATTTCAATTGATTGATGATAAACATTTACGATAGTTAATATCAAAAAAATTTCATCAAAATAAAGCTTATAAAAATAGAATATAATCATATATATAAAAGATATATTATAAAATTATCGAGTGAATATATAAGAGTATTTTAAGTAGTGATAAATTATAGAAATAATTCTACATAAAGTAAAGACAATATGGTATTGTCTACATAGGAAGAAAATTTCGGGTTTGCTTTCTATATTTCTCAAGCATGCGCCCGACATACGCCCACATTTGCCGACTTCGCGACTAAATAGCAGTAAAGAGTAAAGACTACACAAGAAGTTTACAAAATTAACGTCGTTGAATTTAGGGGGCAGCGGCAAATTTAAGATAATTAATTTACCCCAATTTCTATTTCCATTTTATATATTTAAGGAACTTAACTTTATTATCAGTATGTTATGGGATACAGGGCCGGCTACAACTTCTTATAAGTCAATGAAGAAAGTTCTAAAGGATAATAATGTGTTGGTATTATGGTTGAATCAGTGGACGTGTCGTTTCAAAATGATCTTACTTTTTCTAAGCGGTGCATGCAGGTTAATTAAAAAGAACGTGTTTTAAATTAGTGGATGAAATTCTTGATTTAGTTTTCTTCTTTATGACCTCGAGCAGTGAATCTGAACGTTTTCAGGTTGGTCAATGGAGGCATTTTAATGCCTACCTAGCTTCATATATATATATATATATATTTTTTTTTTTCCTAAAAAGAGTTTTGGTTAAAAGTACTTTACTATTTTATTCAAAAAGAAGAAAAAAAGAAAAAGAAAAGCACATGCAATTTCTGTGAATTTTATACATAAATGAATCTTCTAATATGTATATACAGTATTAATTAATCATGATTTTCCAGTAAGGTGCTCTTTATCTAAATTTTGTGAAAAACAAGTTTAAATACCATTATATTCATTTGTAAAATATTATTTTAGTCTAATAATAATAAATTTAATGATATTTAAACATGATCTTTGGAACATTTACGTAAGAACCTTCTTATTAGAGAACTAGAGAAGGGATATTATTAAATTATCCAAAAATAAAAGGGATTTAGCAAAATAAAGGTGTTAATTTTTCTAAGATACCCACCCAAGCTTTCTCTCAGTTTCTCTCTTTCTTTCGGTTTCTCTCTCCTACTCTTTGATTTTTTTCCCTTTCTTTTATGTTTTTGAAATTCATTTTTGAGTTGTTTCAATTTCTTGACAAATTGAAGTATTAGTTTAGTATTTATTAGTTGTTTCCCCTATATATATATATATATATATATATATTGGAAGGAGTTGGAAATTTGGTTTGAAAAGCATGGTATTTTACAATTCAATTGAAATTTGGATTCTAGAGTAATATATTAGTTTAGACAGGATTGTTTTTTTTTCTTTTTCTTTTTTCTTTTTAATAACATTTATGATTATATTAAGTTACAGTTATGTGTTATTGTTGTGTGATCCATGTTAAAATGACAAGAATTTTAGTTTAAATAAAACAATACAAGATGGGTAGCTATGTCAAAATATACATTTGCTTATTCATTTGGTTTAAAATTGGTAGAGTTGGTTATTTTTGTTTAAACCCTTAAAAATTCGGGCCAACTATTAAGATCCCATCATTATATCTATCTTATACATTCTTACCTAATTAGCTATTTAAGAACTTGTTACATTATGTATTTAAAATTCTGTCCACTCTCCTGACTTACAAAATCAATAGAGGCCAAAGCATGCCGACAAGAGGGTTCGACGAGGTTAGTCCTTCAATGCTCAACGAATACACTGCTAACTGTCAGGTTAATTGAGCATAAATATGAAGAAAGAGAGAAGAATTTGACTAAAAATAAACCTATCATACACCCCTTACTAATTACCATAGTGGTTGAATTTCAAATAAACATCTCTCTTTCTACCAATCAAAATTGGTTAATGGATTCCTTACCAAATAAGAAGAGATCATTAACAAGATTTTTTTTCTTTTTATTAGCTTGACTTAGGCAAAGTCTAAGTAATAAACTCTCTTTAGAAGGGAAGGGGAACTTCCATTAAGTAATAAACAATCTTTGGGTGACTGAGTAATTAGATAAAGACTCTTAGATGTATTACTGAAAAGACTCTGAGTTCGAATCTTAATTCCAAGGTATTTGAGGATTAGTTGATGTACGCGTAAACTATATTTTTTTAAATAGGAAAATCCTATAAGCATGACATGAGATAAAGTTTTTAAAATATATTATTAAAAAAGTCTTGAGTTCGAGTTGTAATTCTCAAGTATCTAAAGATTAATTAATGTACACGTAAATTGATGTAAAAATCTCGTTATTCAAAAAAACAATTCATTAAATCTAGATTTTCTTAAATAGGAAAATTCCCTAGGCATGACATGAGATAAGTGAGGGTCACCTAAGTAAGGCCTTATCTTATCAATGCTTAGGCACTGTATAATTGACCACTGTCCATTGCAAATGAAGATTATAAGCGTCGGGTGATGACATAACCCTCTTTCGTGAGAACACATGGCTCCTTCCAGAAATCTCGCAATAGAAATCCTCCAGTCTCGACGCACTCTTAACAATGACGTAAAAACTAAAAAGACAAAAGTGTTTTCCACCATTTAGATCCTCATCAGAGTGAAGTGGTGACAATTGTTCACATGCTACTTCAATATGGTGAGCATTGAAATAAATCAGTTTAATTCAATCGAGTAAAGTCCAATCTCTTACAGGTATTTTACTATATAAATATGGTACAAAAAGCCTACTAATGTCAGGGTGTGATATCACCCACCCCCTTCATAAATGAGTCCCCAATCATTTTATTATGTCATGGACAAGAGTGTTTTTTTTTTTGGCCCACGGTTTTTTAGTTATTACAAAAGGTATATTTTCTTCGTTGCATCTCAATCGTCATTCGTCCATGTGTATTGAGATAGATTGTGCCGATGAAGTGGCCTCTTATTGTTGTTGACTCAAGGAAGAGTTATTATGCTCATATTTTGATGACAACAGATTAATAAAGCCCTAATTTATGGACTAATGACTCTTGTTTAAGGGTGTATTTCAAATGCAATGCAAAATTTCCCAAGGCAATGCAAATGCTTCTTTAAAGAGGGTATTTTATTTGTAAAACGTGAATTTTAGTTGAAATTGATATTTCATCCATGATAGCGCGCATATATATATGAGATTGTAGGGATAACTGTATATGTTTTAATAAGTCTAGAGATTCAACTTAATTTCAATTTCACGTGAAATTAATAAATGTAAAAGACGGAGAATTAATTGATGGCAGCCGAAACGGCAGTGATTTGGTAATTGACTAGACAGCCGACATCAAGTTGTCAACAACACAAATAATAATAATAAATACTAAAGATAGAAGAGCACATGTTTGGAAATATTCAAATAAAGAAAGAAAGGCATGACGATGACGTATACAACCGGTGAAGAGACAGACCATTGTTATTTTGCGCACGCGTTATTCATGCTACATTAAAATTCATGGGTGTCAACAGCTAGAAATTTTTAGAAATAAGGCAAGTAGTAAATGTAATGAAACTCCTTTGGCTTTTTGTCCCTATCGTTACATTTACCTCTTAACATTTATCAATATATAATGCCTCCGTTTCCTCCTCCACACAACTCCTCACCCACCATCTTCCTTCATCTTTCTCTCTTTCTCTTTCTCTTTCTTTGTTTTATCAAATGGGTTTTGATTTTGATCCGTCTTTGTGGCTGCACTCTCTCTCCACCACTTTCTGCTTCATTTTCTTCACTTTCACTGCCTCATTCTCCTTGTTTTCTTTCTTCATCTTTCTATTCCTGAAGCTCAAGCCCTGGTGTCAGTGTGAGACTTGCCGGAGTTTTCTCACTACCAGTTGGTCCAAGGATTTTCCTAATCTTTGTGATTGGTACACACATCTTCTTGGGAAATCACCAACCGGGACTATACATCTTCATGTCCTTGGAAATATCATCACTGCCAACCCCGAAAACGTCGAGCACATCCTCAAAACCAGGTTCGATAACTACCCTAAAGGCAAACCTTTCTCTGTTATCTTGGGTGATCTTCTGGGTCGTGGTATATTCAATGTCGATGGCGATTCCTGGAAGTTTCAAAGAAAAATGGCGAGTTTTGAGCTCGGTAGTGTCTCTATACATCACTATGCTTTCGATCTTGTCATGTCTGAGATTCAGTCCAGGCTAATCCCTCTCTTATCATCGGTTTCTGAAAAAGAAACGGTGTTAGATCTCCAAGAAGTATTTCGTCGATTTTCGTTCGATAATATTTGCAGATTCTCGTTCGGTTTAGACCCCGGTTGTCTCCAGCTGAGTATGCCTTTATCAGAATTTGCAGTCGCTTTCGATCTTGCATCGAAGATATCTGCTGAAAGAGGATTGGCTTCATCACCAGTAATTTGGAAAATGAAGCGGCTGCTGAATTTGGGCACCGAGAAAAAGCTGAAAGAAGCGTTAAAATTGGTGAATGAACTAGCCGAGAAAATGATAAATGAACGCCACAAATTGGGATTCTCCACCAAGAATGATCTTCTATCAAGATTCATGGGTTCCATCAACGATGACAAATATCTCCGAGACATTGTCGTCAGCTTCCTTTTAGCTGGCCGTGACACGGTAGCCTCAGGCTTAACCAGCTTTTTCTTCTTGTTATCTCAACACCCGGAAGTCGAGTCATCGATCAAGGAAGAGTCAGACCGAGTCATTGACCCGAACCAAGGTTTTGTCAGCTATGAACAAATTCGAAATATGCATTACTTAAACGCTGCGGTACATGAAAGTATGAGGCTATATCCGCCAGTACAGTTTGATTCAAAGTTCGCTCAAGATAATGACGTGTTGCCGGATGGTACATTTGTTAGAAAAGGCAGTAGGGTTACTTATCATCCATATGCAATGGGGCGGATGGAGCGGATTTGGGGTCCCGATTGTCTCGAATTTAAGCCGGAGAGATGGTTAAAAGAAGGCAAATTCAAACCCGAAAACCCGTTTAAGTATCCAGTTTTTCAAGGTGGGCTTAGGGTTTGTTTGGGCAAAGAAATGGCCCTAGTAGAAATGAGAAGTGTGGCTCTTGCCATGGTGAGGCAGTTTAAAGTCAGGTTGGTGGAACCAAATCAGTCACCACGGTTTGCCCCCGGTTTGACTGCGACTATGAGAGGGGGTTTACCTGTAATGGTTCAACAAAGAAGAGATTGAGACACAGAAAAAAACACCATCGTTGGGGCGTTTATTGTCAGGGCTGACCTTAATTAATAATCACATTGTACATATCCTACTCACATAGTTTGACCGATGTACGCCTTTTAATTAGTTTTGTTTTTCCTCTTTTCAGTCTTTACTTTTTGGAGTGAGGAAGACTTGATGTATATCCGTAAACAAATTAATTTGACAAGTGTCAAGCTTAATTAAAAGAATAATACTATCTGAGCTAACCTAAACCCATTCTAAGTACTAATTGCTAATTGATATCACGTTAGTTTTCTTTATAAAATAAAAAATTTAAAATTTTAATTATCTCAATTAATACTTGATATGATAGACCTTTCTTATTATCATTCTTATTATCATGTCAGTTTCTTTTATAAAAAAAATTCAAAATTCAAAATTTTAATTACCTCAGTTAATACTTAAATTAGTATGATTTGATTAGTGTAAATAGTATTACTCTAATTAAAGTAAGTACCAAAGTGGTAGGCTTAATTAATTACTCCATTAAATATATCCTATATGGATCAAATATACATGTTCATCTGGTGACTCGGAATAATTCAAATATCGAAACGATAAGTTAAAATATGATGGAGAGTCCGTATTTTATATCACAGAAGTAAAAAGGGAAAAGAAATTGATTAGAAGTGATGGTGCATGTTCAGATGATTCACCAATTAACTCTTTAACTATTAATACTACCCCAATGATATCAAGTACAGTAATTAATTAATATAATCCTTCTTGATTTTCGAGTGAACGAGCCCCACGAGACCTTAAAATATATTCTATATGTATGTGCATTGGCTCCCTTTTATTTTATTTATTTTATTTGGATCAAGCATCTGCTCTAATAACTTATAGAGGGTGTTTGTTTAAGTTTATAAATTGATTAAATTTATTTATAAATTTTAAAATTAAATTGATTTATTTATTTATAATTTTTTTAAGTTTATAAATTGAACTTATAAGCTAAAAAAAATAAGTTGGAGGAGGTACTTTTTTTTTTTTTGGCTTATAAGCACTTTGCTTATAAGCTAGTTTGATCAAGTATATTACTATATTATTCTTGTTTAATTTTAAAATTCTATAGTATGCTCTTGTTTAATGCAGTATCTTTTTTAGTAATTTTATAATAAAATATACTTATAAGCTACATTTTACCAAACACGTCAATTATTTATCAATCACTTATAAGTACTTTAACCAAATACGTAATTGCTTAAAATTTCAAATGCTTATAAATTAATTTTAGCTTATACTTATAAGTTAATTTTCATAAGCTCAAATAAACACTCCCTAAAAGACTGATTACAATGTTAATAGATAAATCTGGTTTAAGACAAACTACCTTCTTTATAAATTAATTCTTTTTCTTTCGTATGTACAAGTTCAATTGATCAATCAAAATATATATATATATATATTTTTTTGATCTCTCGAAGGAAATAATAGTAAAATCAATTGAAAAATTGCACTGTATGAACTGCTGCCACGCACTTTCAATTATAGTATTTCTGCAATATTTATATGCAGTAGGTAGCGCTATGCCTATACTATAATGTTCTCAAATAGCTCAGCTAGTGTCATATTGCATTTCGAATTATTATATACTTTTTCATGAATAGCATTACGTAAGTGCATATGTATGAGAAGAAAGGCAAAGGAAGAATACTCTTTCCCTTTCATATAATATAAAAAAAAAAAAAAAAAATCTGTATATAAACTTGTAAAATTGAGAAATTGAGAAAAATAAATGCATTATTTAAGAGAAAAGGAAAAGAAGTCTTTAACTTATAGAAAAAAGTTTTGGTATCACAGATCATGTGATTGGGACAACAACAAATAACTAACTAGTATTAGATAGCTACTCTATAACAAAATTAATCAATTTCACAAGTACGTAGAAATTAGTACTCTATACAAACTGTGTATACAAATGAGAGGTGTGCAACTGTTTCTCATGTGGAACTATAACTCTTTCGAGTTAATTCCACACATTCAAGAAGAACACGTGGTGGATTGGTTCATAACTATAGTTTTGAAGAATATGGACCGCATTTTTAAAGGATGAATTTTTGTTAATTGGCTTTGTTTTGGTAGTGATTGTCTTGTATATGTTTTGGATATGATCTTGTATAGACTTTTGTATTTGTCCTAACCCGAGGTTTGTTTTATGGTAGGAGGTACATTAAAAGATAGTGTCTTGTGTAATTCTTTTATCTTAGTTAAACTTTTGGTTTCTGTACTATCCAAAGGGTTTGTCATGTGGTAGGCTGATTGCCTTTATATATTTTTTTGTACATTCTTTTTCTTTTTCTATTTAAAACTTAATTACCCAAAAAAAGAATATATACCGTTTTCTTTTTCCTAAACCTCAATGCTTGCTGCTGCATGCAACACCATTGCAGCAATTGAAATTCACGACTTAATATACATTATTTTAACGAATGTTTTCAAGTAATCCTCGATCATATATACTTGTGGTGAATTGAGTTGATCATGTGTTATAAATGCCGAGCGTGGATAAGGAATAAATGAAAATGTGCACTTAATATGACTATTACCTAACCATTCTCTGTCATTTGTGTAGGTTCATGAGAAGAAAGAAGACGCATGATTCTTTCAAGATATAATTAATTAGATAAATAATAAACTAATTAACCTTTAATTATTTTCACTTCCCAATCAAATTATCAACCTTACTCTTGTATATATTAATTAAGGTAATTAATGAAGAGAAGAAACCTGCACTTATTTGAGAGAAAGAGAACGAATGGGATAGCACCGAACAGAGAAAGAATAAACATGTTTATTTCATTTATGTTGTTATTTTTTTTATATTATCCGCAGACATAAAATGATATATATATATTGACAGCCGCATGCATAACTCATGATTTTCATCCTTCAAATGCATATAATTCAACATATTGCCTTTACGATGCAGTCTATGCTTCACTCTTGTCGGCCTTAAAGATTGAGTTGAAGAACAATTTACGTTATCTAGGTAGTATTTGTACTACCCTCAACCTCAATTTTAATTAGTTTTTTCTTCTTAATTATGTGTCTTTATAATAACAAAAGGAATTGTAGTTCTATTGACTTCAAAGATTTATGAAATCTCTATGTAATCATCACCTGAGTTTTATATCAGAAAATCTCGAACTAATCAGAACACAGCTCTCCTTTTGATAAATATACTTGTATATTAAACATTATATACAAAAGTAATTGAAATTTGACTTCATAAAAGTGAACCGCACTTCATTTTCTGGAATGTCATGATTCATGAGAAGGAATTTAAAACTCATTATATACATAGAATATAATTTCCAAATGTTTAAATTTATTTTTCCTTCCTTTAATTTATATATCATAATAAAATTTAGGTATTTAATTAACACATGGTTGGCTGTAAACTTTGACTGTGTATGTTTATTACAAAGACACTGAAACGTTAAGAAAGTAATACATCGTTTCTCTCTCTCTCTCTCTCTCTCTCTCTCTCTCAGGTTGAAATTTGATGAAGTATTAGCGATAAACTCTTTTAACTAAGTTATCCATCGATTCAGCTTAGTTGATAAGTCCTGTGTGCAATGTTTGGACAGAAACTGCGACAAAAGGAATTTGTGCTTCTACTTTTTATAATTGCATTGAGAGAAGGATATAGTGAGGCGGTAGTTGCAATTAAACGGTGCCAAGCTCGCTTAATTAACTAGCTTTTTAATGCTTTCCATGTTTTACACAAGAAGCTTATGCCACCACCATTTTAACACTAACTCCTAGAAGGGAATTCGATTGGCACAAAGAAATACGCTAGGCACATATGTTTCCTTTTAGGGTGCATTTGGATCGGAGACATACCAGATAACGGGAATAATCTTCGTCTATTTTACAAGATTCTGATATTTGGTTTGCAAGTAATAAAATATTATAGGAATAATTTTATTACAAACAGTGTTTACTACTGGTAATATTGGGGATAATCCGATACCCCCCGGTGCGGGGATTAAAAGATTACCGAGTAATCTTAGTTTTATACCTATTTTGTCCTTAATTAAATACCATTTCAGATACAATTGCCTTCAAATGTTTATCAAATAATAATTACTCAGCCTCTCTACATTTGAGAAATTAGCTAAAACACTACAGCCACAAAAAAGTTTAAAAGTTAACAAAATACCCCTAGCCACCTAAGACCACTACCGATCGTTCTCATCACCGTCGACTGTTGGCATCAGTTGTCGTAATGGTGCATGAATGACAAGATCTGGTTGGTTGTGCAATGGTAGGGCCTTTTCCGACCATGGATCATAGATTCATGATCGGAAACGTCCAAATCTGGCGTTTCTATGGTCGTTTCACGGCTACAGATTTGGCCGTGAAATGGCCATAGATTTGTAATCCATGGTTGGAAATGACTTTGCTGATGCACGACTGACCATATACGACCAATCGTGCACCATTCCGTCAACTATCGACGGTGGTGGTTGACTGGCAGTGGCTGGCTGGTGGTGATTTTGCTACAAATTAAAGTTTTATATGGTAGGGGTGTTTTAGCAATATTTTAAATGTAGAGGGTTAAAAGAACTATTCAAAAATAATAATAAAAAATAATATTATATTAATATTTAAAAGGAGTGTAATTTAGTAATCTATATAACATACCCACCTATTTATCCTCTCAACCAAACATATTATTCACCAATTTATTTGAACCAACCAAACACATTTTTTAAACATTCTCAATAATCTTCAAGGTGATCTATCTTTCCGTTAATATAACATCTCCTTATAATAAAATATTATATGATCCAAACTACTCGTTAAAGAATTCAAATATGTAAATATATACAATAATACTATACTTAGTTACTTACGAAGAAATCTTATAAAGATCTCTATACAAAGTGAGGTAGCAAAAAATGAATAGAAGAGTGAAACAAAAAGTCAAACTCATTATATTCACTCTTTAATTCATTTGTTGGCACATCACTTTATATGAAAATCATCAGTTTATATGAAAATCTTTGTAAGGTTTCTTTGTAAGTGTAAC